GTAACTTATCGGGGTAAACTAAGAAGTTTGCCTTTTCTACACTTGTATAAAGTTCTTCATTATAATTTTTACAATTTTCAGATTGTGGAAGGTAACAAATATCCAAAAAAGTTCGATGAAAAAAGAATTAAATGTTAATGCCCATAAAATTGTCAACTCAGTTTAAATATATTACAAGGCTCTTCAACATGGCAAGGTATTAATATCAGCAGTTGTTCTAATTGTACTTTTCATAAATAATAATAATAATGTAACTGATGTCCATGATGAATCTTCCTTGAAAATTAAATGATTATGTTTTGTTTATTGCTATTAGGTCGAAAACAATCGTGTTGAAATACTCTTAACACTAGTGTTAAAATTATTTTTTACAGGCTTCTTCATAAACATCATCTTTCAATACTCTTGACAACCATTAAAATATCACTTTCAATGACAGTTGTAAGAAATAGCTATTTATGATATGAGTGCTAAAAGTAAGGTTTTATTTTTACACAAATATCATACAAAATTGTTGTACAACTGCCCTGTATTCATAATAAAATAGATAAATTTAATATTTCTATAAAAACACAGTTTGACATCTCTTGTCAGTTAACTATTTTCATGTTATCGCATTTGCTTTGAAGTGGCCGTGTCAGGTGATGCCGAATCAACTGGACGAAAGAGTTCTCAAATAGTCCACAGTCCGTCTCGTATTTCTGATATGTACCGCTCTTGGTGGAATCAAATGCGCCAAGTCACTTGAATACTTCCCTTTCTTCGATGTTCCAGGCTATCAAGATTGCACGTGATGTTCGCGTCTCCAATCAGGCGGATAGCTCTTTTCTGGATGGAATCCAGCAACTCCAAAGAAGGTCTGATCTGAGCTTTATAAAGCATCAAAAGTTGCTGAGATGTGCACAGTTTTCTGGTTCGGATCCTCATTAAGATATGCAACCTCCTGCTGCCGGTGAAGATGTGCCTCCGTAGACGATGTCCAGGAATCCAAATGGAATGACGGAATGGAATGCTGTGTCAACGTCAGCAAAGCAATATTTTGGATTCTTGGTTTTTTCTAATGTATCGTTAATATACAATAAAAAGAGGGAACACCACTAGGGAACACCAGCGTTTATGGTAAAAGTATTCGAAAGATATCCATCGACGGACACTTGCAGGAAACGTTTTTTCAGGAAGCTGAAGAGCCATACACAAAAATGATCCGACAAGCCATAGCATCGAAGTTTGGCCAGAAAACCCTCATGCTACACACGGTCAAAGGCCTTAGAAATATCAAGCGAAATAGCTCTTCATTCTTCATGTTTCTCGATTGCGTTATTCCAAATATGGATGACATACGATAGAAGGTTGCCTGTTGATCTTTGTTTCCGAAATCCATATTGATGTTCGCTCAAAATGTTGAAGCCTTCCAAATATTTGAGGATATGGTGGCTTACGACTTTCTCCATGATTTTTAATATCACTGATAGCAAAGCGACTGGTCTATAGTTATCTTCCAACAAGAAGGAAAAACCCCTTTCTCATAGAGACAGGTTGAGAAGTCTGCAAAATACTGTTTCGGGTTCATTTGCGCTCTTTTCAAGTACAATGACGGGCATTTCGTCATGGCCAGACACCTTGTTGATATTGAGCTATTTCAAAATTCGTCCGACTAGACGCTGTCGAAAAGTAATTTTCGGAATTGTGGATTCTTATTTGGGAATAGTGGGTGGTGCCATTCCCAGGTAATCGACTGTGGAGTAGGACGCAAATTGTTCAGCTAGTAGATTTGCTTTCTTATAGCAGGGGAGCCCACGATGCAAAATGGGGATTTACTTGAGTGTCATTGAGACGCTTGAGATGATAAGAAGAAAAAAATGTTATATAATATATACCTTTTCATCGGTGGGGGAAGCGGCTATAGATTTTTAAATGTCAATTTTGACAGGTTAAGGAAATCACGTGACCTATTTTGTAGACGCCATTTGACATCATTTCTTAAGCAAAATCTACTGCCAAAATCAAATTTCACACAAAACGATAAATAAAAAAGTTTCCCATTTGACGCGGACTTTATCGGTGACACTGTATATATTTCTTGCACACTGCATTTTCGCTGGAAAGATGCATGTGTATTGAATGACATATGACATACATTTGAAAAAAAGAAAATAATACAAATAATGAAACAAAAACAAACATTAATTGGCGCTCCGGGGCGACTTGATTGATTCCTGAGGAGCATTTGCTTTTTCAGCTACAGGAAATTGGTTAAAAAACTACAAGAGAAAAAAAAATTAATTATTATCAAGATCATTTCACAAATACTACTCCAAAAGTACTGTGGAATGGTATAAAATCACTGTTACACAACAGAAGTAATATCAATAATAGTCAAAATATAAAAAATATAAGTTTTGAATAAGCATAAAACTGACGATTTATCTGAAATTTGCGAAATAATGAGTGATCATTTTGTTGCAATTGGAAAAAATTATCTTTCGCCATTCCAAATATTTCAAAACGATCTAAAAAACATTCAAGTATATCATCTATGTTTTTAGACAATTAGGTTCAGCTGAAATTGAAGAAATAATAGAATATTTGAAACCAAGAAAAGCATCTGGGTTTGACGATATTAGTATAAATACTGTTGAAGCTGTCAAAACTGAAATGTCACCAATTTTATTCTTCATTTTTTAAAATCTTTTGAAAATGGTGAAATACCTAACATAACCTATTTATAAGAATGGCAAAAAAATATGCTTACATAGATAATCCTTATAACTACGGACCATTCTCGGTATTATCAGCTTTTTCCAAAATTCCGATTATTTGGAAAACCATAATCTTTTATATAGTGATCACTTTGGTTTTCACAGGTCTAGAGATACAAAGGAAGCACCATTGGATATCATTTCAAAAATTCAAACTGAAATTGACAATAATAAAAAATGTTGCCTCTTGGCTTTAGATTTGTGTGAAGCATTTGATACTGTACACCATAATATATTGATCTCAGAACTGAACAATTTTGGCATTACAGGGATTATCCTTAATTGGTTTGTGATTTATATAAGTGATTAACATAAGAAAAATACATTTTGGGGTACCACAAGGATCTATTCTTGGCCCAGTCCTTTTTGTAAATATACATAAACTCATTTACAAATATACCTCTGAAGGGATCAGTTAAATTATTTGCCGATGATACAACAATTCGGATAACTTTTACAAAATTCATGATGATATAAAAACAGACTTGAAAACCATTTTAGGATAGCTTCAAGAAAATAAATCAACTCCAAATTTCCAAAAATCTTAGTATATGAATATTTCTAAAAGATTATTGAACAGTTGTACCAATCCTATAATTATTGATAATAAATCAATAAGTTAGTTATACCAATTCTATTGAATTCCTAGGATCATATACTGATGAAAATTCATCGTGGACAAAACATATTGAAATTATTCGAAAAAAAGTAGCACCCCTCATTGGTGCTCTATTCAAAATAAATGAGGAACTATATTCCTCTCATATACTCACAGTCACATTATCTAATTCCTCTTTGGAGATCAGCCAATAAATCCACAAAAAACATTTGAAATCTTTACAAAATAAAACTATTAAATGCATAGATACATTATTATCGTACTCAGAACCAACGGTGAATTTGTATTAGAGCCGAACACAATATGCAAACTAAAATTTTGTTGTTTCATTCATTCAATAATAAATAAATCAAAAGTTTCAGACATACATTTCATAGAAATCAATAATATGCATAGTCATAACACTAGACAAACAAAATATTATCGGTTAGTAATATTAAATCTAATTTTGGACAGAAATCAATTTATCATGATGGAGTTATAATATGTAATACAATTCCTGAAAAAATAAAAAATCTAAAACTGCTCTCAAATTCAAAAATCAATTGAAGAAGTATTCAACGAATAAAAATAAAAAAACAGGATTTATAAAGCCAGATTCATCCAAATATGTATTTTCATATCAATTATGGAAAATATCACATTTGACTGTTGGGCCATATTGATTGTTCAATTATTCATAATTTTTTATATTTTAGTTTTCAATATCTATAAACAAATGTAATCTTCACTGCTCACATTAATTCCTTGTGTTTTCTTGTTTGATATTTCATTATTTTGTTAAATTTATATCTTTAGTTAATTAAGTTAATCCCTATTCATGAACATCTAATGTTTCTTGGGGTAATAAAGACAATAACTACAACTAGTTTGCGGCATATGGTCAAAAACCAACATTTTATTGACTACCAAATAAAAAGTATGGTTATAAGTTTGAGCTTTCCACGGTTTGTGTGATTAACCGAGAGGTTAATGAACATGTTTAATGTTCGTTCTTTCGTATACTCCGAAATGTGTTTTCTCATATAGCTCGTTGAATTTTCCGTTCTGAATTGGAGCACTCTAAACTCCTCCGATGTTTCAATATGGTTTTCATTGTTCACATTATCCCCAAACAGACAGGTTTTTGCATCCTGCTCACTTTGTTAATAGCAGGAGCGTGTTTTATCTTTGCCGAGCAAACCAAAACAGCAAATGTTTTTATTCTAGCAGCACTCCTGGCCCAGAAGACGTAGTAATTAAACCATTTCAAGACCCCATAATAGTGAATTCAAGTTCACTAGTGTTAATCCCATACCTAATGGTGGTGTATAGCAATCTTTTATCGTCGATTGGATGATTGTTTCTACAGAATCTCTTAGTACCGAGCAATACATCACCGTTATTGAATACGCCAACGAAAAAAATTGATATTATTACAGTTTCAGTTTTTGCTGCGTTTGCATTTGAATTTCCATAAAGGAATAAAGAACATGCCAGCTTATTAGATAATACCCCCTCCTATCAGTTATCACTATGTCCTGTATAATTACGAACAACAATAGAGGTTAGCTATTTTTCATTTATTAATATTGATAACAGTCAACTGAATAAACACAATCCATAATTATTTGTTGAATTTGCGTCTTATATCCGTCATTTAGTAACTTTTGGCAGAACCGAAGTGGTGTTACACATTGTTTCTCACAGCATTGCAGACACCATGAAGTACACTGGGAATATTGTGATATCGGGAATTTCAGGTCGATTTCCTGAATGCGAAAATGTCGAACAATTCAAGGAAGCCCTCTTTCAGGGAGTCGATTTGATCAGTGAAGACGACAGAAGATATCCAGCAGGTAGGTTTATTTTTAGTTACTACACGAGTACATGCAAAGACGGGCACTTCGTTTTAAAGAAATCGTCAGCGTCATTAATGGCATACGTCACTAGATACCTCTTATTATAAAAAACGTGACTCGACGATTACTCTTAGGAAAATTATATTGTATTGTGAAAGAAAGTTTTTGGCTTTCTACTACTCCATCTGATACAAAAAAAAGGGATGAGAGAATCTTCCAAAGAAAGGAAGGAAGTAATCAATTTGAAACTCTATACATGAATGTGTAGATCATACAAAGAAGTAACTTTCAGACACAAACTGAAAGAAAGTCCTCCTGAAACAGCTACTTTCATATAAACATTGTATCAGATGGAGTAGTAGAAAGCCAAAAACTTTCTTTCCCAAAAAATTAATCACTCCTAAAAATATAACCCCTTCAATTCATATATTGTATTGATTCTGAGATTCTAACATGAGAACTTAAAAAACCCCAATACACCTGGAACTCAGCTTTTGAAGAAGTCATCTTTCACCAAAAATTGATTAAGGAAAATAATATCAAAAACGTTCTATGCAAAGCTGGAACTTTATCACAATATATGACTATTCAAAGAGTTGGTGTCAAAAAAGATCAACCATCACCGAGTCAAGTTCCCTTGAAGCTTTTACATTACATTTTAGTGCTTTCAGGATCAAACCAATAGCTAATGGAAAATGAGTCAGATTCTAAATCATTAGAATCTACAGGGTGTTTCTTAAGTAGGGTACGAATCTTCAGAGGGAGATTCGTTAGGTCGGTTTAAGAAAAAAAGTTTCTATGCACATATGTCCGGAGTTGCTACGTTTCTGAGATACAGGGCGTTGAAGTTTGAAAAAACGGTATTTAAGAAAGATCATAAATATCCTTACAACGATATGGTTGAAATTTGCTACAGTTATTTGAAGTAATAAGGTACTTATTTTCACCCTTTGAAGTTTCGTACCCTAGTTAGGAAACACCCTGTGTAATAAAATCCACAGATATTATACCAGCTGGGTAACTGGTTACAACATCTACCAGGCTTATGCAAGCTAAACAGATTTTTGTTCAAGAATCTTTCAAACGAGGTCCTAGTGTTTCTCTTCACTAGCGAATTATCGAAAATATAGTGTTATTAGAGCACACTTTCTCGCTTGCTACTGCCCTTTTATTTCCTCTACAAAGACTACCTTTCGACTATATAATAGTAATAAAAGAGAATGAGAAGGGTGCTACCAGCAAGACGAGAGAACCAATATCTCCTTACTTTAATTGGAATCTTTCCACATAAAAGAGTAATTCTGGCAATAGAAACTTGATATATTAGGTCAAAAACTTGATATTCTGTCATCTAAGTTACAACTTCAGTAAAATTGAAAGATCGTGCAATGGGAGCGATATGTCGCTACTGCTGAACTCTTGCTTTTCGAGTGCTTAGCTCTTGTGTTTAGTATCTTGAAGAATTGTCTAACAAAGAGTAACAGATGTCATGAGGGACTTGATGTTTTGTTAAGGAGAAAGCATATAGCTCTTTCCCTAGACCAGAACGTTTCTGTAGATTATATTGAAAGGATTATATTTTTAGGAGTGATTAATTTTTGGGAAAGAAAGTTTTTGGCTTTCTACTACTCCATCTGTAGACTCTCGAAGAGCTACTTCAAGATAGGATTAAGATGTTTGAAACTTGATCGAATTAGTCACTGTTATAATGTGCAAAAACAAGGATCGATGAAAACTTTGATTAGCCTTTCGTCGACGATAATTGAAAAACTTCTGAAGGTGGATGGGAAAGCAGAATTTATATTGGTAACAGGTCTTTCAACAAAATAATGCAGCACCTTAGAGAGGGTGATGGACCAGATAGTGAGAGATTTTGCTATTAAACATGTGCCGCCGAAACTGTAGAACATTTGCTTTTCCCGGGCAAATCTCTTGTACTTATACAAAAGCCTCAAGTCTTAAAATTAATATTATAGTTCATTGACTGTTCAGTCAATGATTAATGATAATATGGAACCATGAAATCTGAAATCGCTACGCAAATTTCCATGCCCTTGATTTTTATACAACTTCGAAAGGAATTGGGAAAAGTCCTATTTTGGAAATATTTATAGATGATTTTGTAATTAGAAATACGAAACTATACTAGAGTTGAAGAAAGAAAAGATAAAAGAGATGAAAACACACTTCATTGTGATATTTTTACTAAACAGTTTACAGAACCGCAACATGTGTATTCCTATACAATGGCTTCTTCAAGCGCTTAACACCAATTCCAACACGAATAAAAGTCTCTAGTGCAAAAAATTACAATCTACAAATACAATATCGAGTCGAACTTTTAGTATTCATAAAATGTTCTGTCTATCTTCAATACCATTTGCTGTTAGACTATGTTAGTTGCCTACCGATCAAAATTATCGAGAATACGCCTTCCGATCGATTGCGAATTCATTCATCTTTATTAGGCCAAGGCTACTACATAAATAATTTATAGTTTCATATACCTGTATTCAAATGTTATAAAAAAGCGTTCGCTAACAATCTTAGGTCAAAGGCCAGATCAATGTCTCTATTCTTCACTTTTTTGTTTGAAGTAGTGATTATTTTCCATATCTTTCATTTATTCAATTACTTTTAGTTTTTAATAGGTATGTATTTTCAGTTCGATATTGTTAACGAACAAATGATACTCTCAAACTTTACCAATTAAGTGGCTCATCATTGACATCTTTGTTATTGGTTATGACACGAAATTATTCGAGTAGAGTTTTTTCATCCATTGAGAAACCGTAAACAAAAAACAATTGAGTAGTGTTTTTAATCACTACTTTTTGCTTCTAATTTCTCTAAAACTAACCTTACTAATCAACCATGGATAATCAACGTATGACAACTAACCCTGTAAAAAATGCACAGAGTACCAACTCAATAAAAATACATGTGCTCCAAATGAAAACCTTATCTGCTATGATCCATCGGATGTGCTAATATTCATAATCTGTACATAGAAGATCAAACAAGCAGAAGGGGCATTCCGGGGCGACGCATAACCTGCCAACCTCTCCTCAAGCATGCTTGTTCTCAACATTACAAGCTTTGATGTAAAAAATCATCTCTCTGATGTTCCAGAGCTCATAAGAAGGGTTGCCAAAATTTTCAACAAAGTCTCCATATTTGGGAAGAGATCATAACCGCAAATTTGAATGCGGAGACCATACAAATTTTGGGTCTAAATATTTTCATTGAGCTCCAATTTGAAATCTATAGATGCAACTCTGTAACTACAGTAAAAGCAGGAACGCCAAAAAATGAGAATGGGTTCACATTGATATAGTCTTCGGATATTCTAGCACGTAAACACATAACTCGAAAAGGTTTTTATGATATACACAGAAGGTTATAATCTTTTAGGTCAATCGTTAACACTTCTAGAAGTAGAGTGAAAACAGTCCTCCGAAAATGTTTCTATCCAGACATTTTTTAGGTAATTATTGCGAAGAGCATTTTTCTGTATACATAGCATAGCATCTGATGCTATGCTATGTAAAAAAAAACGTAAATTACTCATTGTTAAATAAGACAAAGCTGATAGGAACAGTCAATTAATCTTACTATGCCTATTAGTACTGACATATACCGTTAATTACATTGCTTCTCTTAAGAATATTTTTAATACCGATGTTTGATTTCATCGTTAAGAAGAGTAGGAATTTAACAATTTATCAAATTTTGGTGAATTTTCGTTTGTCAAAATTCTATTAAAATGGGCTTGGCCTGCCACGCAGAAAGTCGCGTTTTCAAAGTTTGGCAGAGTTTCGTGATATCAATATTCAATAAATGTAATCAAAATCTGACGTAATATTATCAAGACAAACAAGTTGCTGAGTCGAAGAATTGGTTGGATATCAAATCAGCATCACGTTGCTGTAGCAAAGAAAATACAGCTTGTCAATAAATATGGGAAAATATTTAGAAGTAGAAAGCTGTATACATCTTCATAAATTAAGGATCAGACAAACTGCCGTTTTTGAAGAGCACACGGGACGAATACGATTTCGTAGACCAGAAGTCTAATGTTGTTTAACATTCTTGAAGAAAGGTCATGTAATTGTTATGGCTCAAATAACCCTTGAAAAAAAGTGAGATTTGTACTTTGAGTTTACTCAAATTCACTTAATAGATCCACAAACAACAATATCTGCTAGTCTCTAACAAAAAAATTCAACATGAAAACTTCATCAACAAACATTGAAATTATTACCAAAATATTCAAAGAAGGAGAGGAACCAATTTCTGTCATCCTCTGAAACAAATTTATCAACCATAATAAAATGCAGAAGTACTCAAATAACCTTGCCAACAAAAGCTAAACAAATAAAATTGGTACAAACAAGTCCCAAATGTGAAAATCACTGCATATAAATATACCTCCAACTTGGATTTAATTGCAGTTCAAATAGTATAGGGTGGTATATACAGGGTGTCCCTGGACTTCCTCTTTTCCTCTCGGGAATGTATAGATGGGGTCAAAATATCACCAGTACTTCATATACATTTTTTTCCTAAAATCCTTCGTTACCAAGTAACGGGCCCTCGAAGTTACAAAATGAAAAATGTTTTTCTTTGATAACTTTTCAAGTGAATATTCAAAATCATCCAAATTTTGGTAATTGACTAAACAAATGAATTCCTTCGATGAGCTTTCATGCAGGAGTCAGTTGTTTTGCTACAAAGTCAGGAACGGACTACCCCCGATGGTCCACACCCCAAAACTTTGAAATGACAGATATTTTTCAA